TTGACCCTACATAGGTCAATGGAGGGTGTGTCAGTGCCATGTCAGTCACTTTTGACCCAAACAATGCCAAAGTGTAACCGATATCATCGTTAAAAGCACGCAAACTACGATTTCGTGCAAAATCGGCCTGATCTTGTTACCTTTGTGACGTCATAGCTCTGTTACCTGACCTGACCCGGTCACTCATTTTTTCGCCAAAAGTTGCGCAAAGGATGGTCTATAAGGTAGCCGGAAAACTGGCGGCACTACGTGCCGCCTTTTTTCGCTATTCGTAAAAAAAACCTCAGGATGGTGCGGCCCTTTCCACGGGCGACAATTAAAATAAGTATCACATAGTACACCAACCTTCCTTTTCATCTTTTGCACAACCGTTTTAGGAATCCTCAATGCAAAAGATGTCGAAGCCGGAACCGTAGTCGGTCGGAGTGAACAGTTTTATTAGTAGTCGGAGTCATTCAAAATTTGTCGAAGCCCTGGGTGCTGGTAAAACTCTCGCTGTCAATGAATTAGAGTTGGCTGATTCATGTTAGAGGAAATGACTGCAATAGAGGAATGACTACATGCTAGTAGCACCATACGTCTAAAAACGAAGCTTAACAGTTTTTCAAATAATAAAACAAGACATGCCAAGAGTGTCAGCTATATATTTCTTCAAGTGAAGTCCTGGGGTTTGTCGGATAAAAGATTGAATAATCAAGTCTATTCTCACTGCACATAATCCAGCGATGCTATATACAAGTGCTGCTGATCATAGCACTCCTAGCTCGCACTAATAGTTCAGACGGTTCAAGCCCCCTGAATATCACATCACGAAAAAAAAAATCAGGCATCAGCCTCTTGTCACTGAGTCACATTTGTACTAATATACATCTTGCACACTAATCACATGTAGGTAACATAAGTAAAATTTATAAACAAACACTGTTCTTTAACATAAGATGACAAAAAACAGAGCGGTTTAGTAGGAGGTGTGGCCGCCCGCTGCCTCGGAGCACTGCTCCAGCCGCTGCCTCATCGAGGCCACCAGGCTCCGGAAGTAGCCGGGGCGGCGGCGGAGCTCCTCCCATTTCGCCAAGACGGCGGCCCAGAGCTCGTCCTGGTTGAGCTGCCGGGCCGGCTGGCGCAGCTCCTCCTCCAGCTCATGAACCATTAGAGACCACACATTTTCGATAGGGTTCAGGTCTGGGCTCATTGAGGGCCAGGGGATGGCACAAACCTGCGAACAAAACCATGTTTGTTACTCACTGTAACGTGATATAGGTTGACACATCGGTCATGACTATGAAGCTGTATGGTGCAACGAATAACACCTGTTGGAAAGTGTTTGATCATTACTGAGCAATTTTGAAAGGCATCTTAAGAACTTTTTGAATAATTGTTTAATTAATCTCAACAAGTTTATAACAGGCGGGGACGAGGCGACCAGGGGCAAAGCGGCCTCCCGCACATAGCCGTAGGCCTCGCCTCCTCTAATTGGGATGCATTGCTGTTGGGGTGAAAATGAATAAACAGATAAATAAATGCACAGCATCTCAATATTTTTTTTTAAATAATGCCATCAGGTCACCGGTCACCTAGCTAAACCATACCACAACTTAAGGCCGCCCCACACTGGACCTCGCAGGCGGGTTTTGAGTTTGCGGGCATAATTACGAGCGAGCGAGCGCAGCGAGCGAAGCGAAGTCTTTTCAATATATAATATAATTACGAGCGAGCGAGCGCAGCGAGCGAAGTGAGTCTTTTCAATATAACGGGAAAATCTCAGTATGAGCGGCCCGGCCCGGCCCGGCCTGTAACGCTTTTGAGAGGCTTATATCTCAGCAACCGCTGGATCGATTGGCCTGCGGTCTTTTTTTGCTGGGTAGCCCCATCCCTTCTACCCCGTAATTGACTACTTTTGATGCATCTCAGTGACCGTCGTGGCACGTGCCACGTGAAAAGTCAAGGGTGTTCAAGCTGTTTTGCAAAAGTAGTGATTTTGAGAGGCTCATATCTCAGCAGCCGCTTGGGCGATTGATTGGTGGTAATTTTTGTAGGGTAGCAGCATCCCTTCTACCAAAAATAGGATACTCTCGATGCATGTGGGTCACCCCCATTGCACGTGCAAAATACAACAATAAGAGGTGTCAAATTTGTTCCCATTTTACTAACTCGGTAATTACTGGGGCGATTTCGCTGAAACTTGGCATACAGGTAGGCATCCACCAGGCAATGCATTCCCATGTGTTGCGGTTAAGGTGCACTACTGCACGTGCGCACGTGCAGGAGGCGCTCCCAGATCTCGAGAACGGCTGGGCCGATTGCGCTCAAATTTGGTACACCGCTAGTGACCGGTTAGAAGGGTGCTTTGCACAAGCCCGTTGGAAGTACGGGTTCCGGACAAAAATCGGAAGTACCCTCTCGCCCTTCCGCACGAGCAGGGCTCACTATCTCGCTCGCTCGTTCTTCGCCCAAAGAATCGGAAGTACCCTCTCGCCCTTCCGCACGAGCAGGGCTCACTATCTCGCTCGCTCGTTCTTCGCCCAAAAGGCGTTTTACTGGTAGGTTTATGATGCCACTTACTGAGTCTGCGTGGTCTTCGAACCACCGCTTGACTGCCCTCGCTGTGTGGATAGGGGCGTTGTCTTTCATTAGAGTCCAGGGTCGTTCCTCGTCGGGGCGCAATTCCTCCACGGAGGGAAAAAACAACCTGCCGGAGTAGTAAAGACATATTTAACAACAATGAAAAAATGCACATGTTCACAAGGGTATACAGTCAACTCAACCAGTGACAACTTAACCAACGTGGTTTGTGACAATAGAGCCAATGCATTTAGCACACTGGTTGAGTTGTCACTGGTTGTCACTGGTTGTCACTGGTTGTCAATGGTTGAAATGTCGCTGGTTGAGTTGTCACCGGTTGAGTTGTTACTGGTTGAGTTGTCAATGGTTGAGTTGTCACTGGTTCCGTTGTCACTGGTTCAGATGTCACTGGTTGAGTCGTCACTGATTGAAATGTCTCTGGTTGAGTAGTTGTCACTGGTTTGACCTGCTTGAAATGTCACTGGTGGAATTGACATGGAACCGTTTGCAAGAGTGCGGGGAAGACGGCGTGCTGGGCAAAAACGATATCTACCTGGATATGACTTGTGCAATCGAACGTTTACTGGCATTTGACCTGTTACACAAAGACCATAAAACGTTTATCTTAGGTTTTGTCTCTTAGACACCCAGAGGGCAGGAAACCGCCAACCATTGTTCAGTTGGTTTGATTTTTTATGTGCTCTGATTTTGTCTCACAAACTTTACAAGCATTCAACATGAACATAAAGCGTTTGAGCTGTGGCTCTTGCGACATTAAGCGAGATGCGAAAAAAATACTCGCTATTATTATCAATCCTATCTTGAAATAAATAGTTTGACACTTTTCTAATTTGAAAATGTTTGAAAAAGACCTGTGGTCGAAATAAATATTACATTCTGTCAAGTAAAGTATATATTTGTACAGCATTAGTTTTGGTAATTATCGAGGAAAAAAGGCCATGCTTTTACATTTACTACTATTTATAAACATGTTCCTCGTACAAGCACTAACCTCATTAAATAGTTTGACACGTTTAATCAATTAGACATGCTGTTTAATCGACATTTTATAATTATATGCTTGCCCGATTAGTCATTATGGCCCGATATTATCATTATGCTGGCCTGATAAGTCATCTGATACTACACGCTCGTCTTGACCTAGAAATGCAGAGACAACAGCAACAAATAATAAAAGAAAAGTACGAACCTCCACCATGCGCCTGTCTTCCTCCTCCGTCGTCTTCCGTTTTCTTCCACACTTATCATAGCGCGCTTTCAAACCCCTTTCCCCTTCCTGCTCATAACGGTGTTTCCACCGTCTGGCAGTAGTTAGAGCTACACCGAGAATCTCTGCCGCCTGCTTGACAGAGTGACCTTGATCGAAAAGGAAGATGAGCCTGCCCTTGTCAAGATCACTGAGGTGTGCCATCACGCTCACGTTGACGTCTAGCCGCACACACTCCACGCGGGCTGCGGCCGCATACTGCGGCTCTCCTTCCCCGGCTTTCCGCCCCACTCGGAACAGAAACAGCCAGGTCATGTCATTCCGTGACCCTCAAAGGATACTGTGCCGCATCACACTAATCGGTACACTCTCTGACACACCAGGCCTGCCCCGCCGTGGCCCAGCCTCGGTCCCGGTATGAGCGCGGATTCTGCGCTCAATAGTACATATGTAGATGATTATTGTCGCGACCCCCATCGATGGATGACTGTCGTCTAGTGCTGAGTGTTCTTCCCCCTGCCCGCATGACTGTTACCCATTATACTCGGATCTAAGCCGTAATCGCCACGCCATATGTGGAAGGCTTTTGGTGTCAATACATACATACATACATACAATACATGCTGAAAACGCGTTAATGGAGAGCGAAATTAGCGAGCTTTAGCTCGTAAGACATGATTTCAGACACTTGAAACATATTTTTAGTCATTTTTAATAATTGATATGGCTCGATTTAGTCACTATCACATACATAACCATTAGACACGCTCCGCCCATAACACGCAATGCTGAAAGGCGCCTACGCCTTCGCCGACGTGGGTGGTCGGAAAATCGGTGGAGTGTTCCATCCAGGAATACCTAATCCATGGTTGTCTGTTGTAGTTACGAAAAATGGACGCTACGTGCTCTTGGCTTGAAGTTGAGATGTCAGTAGTTTATTTGTTGCAACTTGCAATCATCATGTTTGCATGTATTTAATTGAAAAAGAACACTAGTGCGACTAGTGCGACCAGGATATCATCGTTTCGCTCCTGTCTCAGGCTCTTTGTGTCGTGACGAACGGAAGACTGAGGAGCGCATGGTCACAAAGAGACATGTCTGGAGAGTTGCACTGGTCTTCCGCGCTGTTTCAGACTATGTGACCGCGAGGAGCGCACTTTCAGCTGGAGAGTCACACTGCCCCCCCCCCCCCCCCCGGGCGCTGTTTCAGACTCTATGTGATCGCGAGGAGCGCACCTCTAGTCTGGAGAGTCACATCGCGGAGGTGTCCGCCTCGCTGGGACGGTACCAGCAGCAGTCGGTGGCTGATCAGGCCTCCATCGACCGGCTCAAGGTAGGTAACGCCGGGCGAGACGACAGATAATCACCCGTGAAAGGACGAGATTCCGTGAAATGGATAACGCAGCGGGCTGACATGCAGTTGTATACATTATTTTGAAAATACGACATAACTTGCACACCTGCAAAGAAATCAACGGCTTCTTAGGCGGTAGGCCTACAGCCCTACACGTATAATGAATGTGATCTTTTTATAACGATGATAAATGCTCATTTAACCATAAGAATAGAGGAAACATCAATTAAAGCGAATATGCCACTTCCCAAAAATAAGTGTTTTACTAGTCATGTGATGTTTACCCTATAATGTTCAGAGCAGAAGATAACACAAAAGGATTAATTTGTTCATACAAGAAGAATATCTGTTATACGTCTTTGGCAGAGGCTAGCGTTTGCAGTGGAAGCTGATTACGCGTTGACTAATCATATTGCCTAGCATATTACCAATCATATCTGGAGGGCACATTATGCAGTAAACACAGGTATGCACCACTGTTTGTGTGTGTGTGTGTTTTTACAATGTCTTACCACAATCGTTACGTAAACCACATATAAATGTCAGATGGTAACATCTGCAATCGCTTTTTGAAACCGTTTACGGGTAAAGTGCAACCAAATCAGTGGAGAACTCCGTCAGTCGCATTTTACGGCCTCATGAAATCTGGAATCGGCTCGTTGATTCAGATACGCATCTACCAACACTAAATCGCTGTAAAATGTAAATGTTACCGAATGCCGTGAATAGTGCACGACCTATGAGCCAGGGAGGGGCCATTTCTAGTGTTTTTCTCTTACGCGGCGCCAGTGAAAGCTTACGGGGCGCCAGTGAATGCGCGGCGGACGCGGCTCCCGCTGCCGCCATCCCCTCGTTACCCACGCCGCGCGTGCCCTCGGGCACTTCCGAAGGGAAGGCAATCAGCTGTTAGTTTCCAATCCAGGTTCTCCTTCATCCATGGTAGGGATTTCCAAGGCTTTAAAAACAAGAATACTCTTTTTATCGTACCCTATCGACTGCTTTTGCGTTTTGGTCCCGTGGCGGCTTACAGTCAACCACGTCGCTATCGGCTTTGTCAATAAGGACGAGAATTGAGCGCTGTGCCCACGCGGAAACGCCTTATCGGCAGCGAGTGTTACTGGAGACCCGCGGCGGGGCGGCAGTCGGTTGTCCGCGGCCAGCTGGCTGACGGAGGGAATGAAAAGCGGGGTCGTATATTACACGGCCGGGTGGGCTGGCTGGGGCTGGGTCACGTTATCCACGACGCTGGTGGCGCCGTTTGCCTCGCGAGAGATCGAGTGTCTGATCGGTGTCTCAGTCATACAGCTGTGTTGTGGAGTGTGACCTTGAAGTGGGTGTCTGGTGGTGTGGTACCGACTTGGTCGCGCCGAGCGGGCGGTGACTGTGCAGAAAAATGAGTGAGGAGGAACATAAAAAAGATACGGACTTCTTCCTGGTAGGTAAACCAGAACAAGCCATTCCCGAGTCGAAGTTGCCTACGGTGCGCTCCGTATTGAAGCTCTTTTTCTACGTCAAGAGGCGAACTCCGGACAACAGCACGGCTTTTCGCTCTGTAGTAGACAGCGTGCTCTGCGTTTGGTCAATGACACGTATCCCAACGATGCTGCCGCGAAATTGTGTTCGGAAACTGAAAAAGTTGTATGAAGAATGGCAGGCGCTAGCAAAGAACGAGAAGAGAAAAAGTGACCCCGGCGGCCGCAGAGCCAAGTTCATTGCCAGCCTTGACCAGCTTTGGGATGTCGGTGCCACCGATGCCATCGAACAGATACGAGGAAATCAAAGGCTGACGCAAGACGAGCGGGACATTGACATCAGGTTTTACTTAGATCAGTGTTCGGAAAGAAGAGGCTACATGTCCGAGAACCAGAAGGTGTTACCCCCGACAATACGACGGCGTGAACGAAAACGAGAGCGGAAGCGCACGATTGTTTCTAGGGCCGATGTACCGCCGGAGCCGGCCGCTCTTGCGAGCAGCAGCGGCACCGGCAGCCTGGCCGTGGCCAGCGATGCCGATCAATTCTTGGACCCAGCCCCGGCGAAGAGGACACGGCTCGGCTCTGCTGTGACGCCCATTATTCCCCGGCGTATCAGGAAGCCGAAGGCCACCATACCGATACCAGACGTCGCCACCCGCCCCGCTCAACAGGAAGTCGGGTAAGTGGCAAGTCGGACCATAATTAATCACATAAAACCTTTGGAAATATAACAATTCATTTGAAGTAGGATTTATATGCACTGTTAGACTGTAAGTTGTGCTACGTATTTAATATTTTCTAACATTGTGTTGCCCTTATTGCACTCATCTTTCCTCTGGCGTGACTGACGCCCCCCGCTGTCCCCCGATAGATGACCGTCAACTCGGCGGTGACCTGCTGAGGTGCTGGGACGTGGACCGGTCGGTACTGGAGCGCCGCACCGCCTGCCTCCGATCACCGACAGCGGTGCTCCGGAGTCAGATGCGGCAGACAGCGGCCCTGCTCTCCCAGGTGGAGACTGCCGAGCCAGAGGACGCTGAACTGTGTCCTGAAGGGGACAAGCCTCTGGATGCTCTCGTCATTGACTTCAGCTGGGACTAGAGCTGGGTCCTGTCCCACCTACTGGGGGAGAGCTGGGTCCTGTCCCACCTACTGGGGGAGAGCTCTCGATGGTGGCTGCAACATCCTGCCGGTGTGTGCGAGGGTGATACAGAACATAAATCGTCCAGAGACTTTGTGTGGGGTTTCAGTGCGAGTGTGCAGGCTGTTGAAGACTTCGTGTGAACGTGATCAACTTCGCATCAACGTGATCTACAATGTCGCTGAGAGGAAGCGTGGAAGCGTGGAAAAATAACTGCCGAAAGCGGATGTCGATCTTCAGGGAAGGTGCCCCTGCGCTCTAATATGAATGCAGCCGCCCCATGCACCGTTGTGGTGCTCTACCTTACTGCATGTCGCTACATTTTGGCCTCCGTCGCATATATTTGCCAATAATTATATGAAAGAAAAACATTGACCTTTTTCCTCGAATCTATAGCAAAATTAATGAAAAATCACCTTTTTATTTACGTGATATTTCGGCCAACAGACCATTATCAAACTAAAGAAAGAACAAATTGTTCTTTCTTTCGTTTGATAATGGTCTGTTGGCCGAAATATCACGTAAATAAAAAGGTGATTTTTCATTAATTTTGCTATAGATTCGAGGAAAAAGGTCAATGTTTTTCTTTCATATAATTGTATCTATCATGTTCCTCGCCAGAGCACTGGCAAACATTAATACTATTTGCCAATAAAGTCGTCTTTCCCTGTCGTGTTGCCTTGCTCTCACCCTTATCGACGCTGACCGCTCGCCATGTATTTAAACCGTTTGGGAGACTCCCAATAGTAATTGATATTTTTGTTTCAAAGGGAACTGTAAAATCAGAAAACGATATCGCACTACCGTAGCCACGAGTCCATACTCCATGCTCGTTTCCAAATTCATTTGCTTATAGCCTCCCTTGCATGGACGATTTCCAGGACCAGGTGACCCGCCTGGAGGAGGAGGCCCGTCAGCGGAGCCGCTCCTCGCCCTCCGACTTCATCAGTAACGAGCCATCGGCCGGCGACCGGGGCGGTCCAGACGTGGCCGCCACGGTGCACCAGCTGGCCTCCTGGCTGAAGGAGACGCCCCAGGAGCGGCCCGAACTGCTGCTGGCGCCACTCAAAGGTTAGTGATTGTTGACTATTGGTGGTACGTGGTAAAGGAATTGGCTGGGGATTTTAAGAAAGGGTGAGTCAAGCGGATGAGTAGGGTGAAACGTGTGGCATAACTGCGCTAGATCTGAGCACATATCTCATGTCGATGTGTTTTTTTCCTAACCCTTCGGTCTACATCTGTTCTGTGAGCATGTTCTGACGCTGCTTGATCTGCCAAGCCAGACAAACTTGGGAAAAACCGTGTGACTACATTTCTGTTTCTTTTTAATTTGGCGGATGTTCACGGGAGAACTGATGGGGGTTTGGGAAAAAACACGTCGAAGTATCCTTTGCTGTGTCTGCCTTCAAAACGGAACAGACTCGCGACGGGTCATCAGACCCCGTCTGCCCCGAATTACGACATTGCCTTGCCAATATGTCATTATTAAGCAGCTTATGACTTCTGAGTTTGGCTTGTTATCTATAGCCCGATGTGATTCCGTGAGACATATAACCACAAAATGACCCATATATGACCCTTGACCCCGTTTGACCTCTGGTAGAGTTGCTGTCGGATGGAGATGACACCGACTGGCGCCAGGAGTACAGATACCTCAAGGAGGAGTTCGAAAAGTACAAAGTTCGCGTCATGGCCGCCAGGAAAAGGGACCCGTAAGTACAAAAGAGAACTTCATAGGTCAGAGATTCGTGAAGGCTCAAACAGACCAAAAGCATCTCCATTAAACTCGTAGATAGATGTAGATTGTAGTTCTATGATGTGATAGTACATTAATACGATGTGAACTTTTTTAGTTTTAAGTGAGCCTTGTGGCAGAGGGTCAACAAACACTTCAGCTGAGTGACCGGAGTGCCTAATTTGTGGGCACTGACCTGTCGGGCTAAGTTTCCGCTATAATTCGTGTGCTCTTATCCTCTCAGCGGCCAGGCGACGTGTCCGTCGGTGACCACCGAGCTGGACACGCTCCGGAAGCAGAGCGAGGAGCTGCGACTGCGTCTGAGAAAAACCTGCGAGGAGCGGGACGACCTCGAGAGGACGCTGCGCTCGCAAGTCAGCCGGCTGGAGCAGGTGGGTTAGATAGGACGGACGGGGAGCGCAGCGAGAGGCCCGGCTGGAACAGGTGGGTTAAATAGCACGGACGGGGAGCGCAGTGAGAGGCCGGGCTCAGGGGGAGGGAGCTGGTCAGTTGGACTCTCTTTGCATTTAGATCGTTTTCAAGACCCAATTTGGTTTTGTCCTGTGCAATCTAGCTGGTATGTGTGTTGTTAGAGCTTTAGGTGCTTTGCTACTTTCAGGTGATAGTCTTCTGTAGTTTTTGGCTTCTTTCAAAGTTACAACTCTACATTTGGGTGCCTCCATCGCTGTCGCAAGTTTAGCCTTCCGGCGATCTGGCCTCTCCCTTGTCTCTTCTGAGTCGTCCATCTGACGTCCTCCCCCTCTTTCAGAGCGAGGCCGACCTGCGGATGGCTCACCGCTCCCAGCTGGCGTCTCTGGAGACTCAGCAGCGGCTGCGGCTAGCCGAGCTGGAGCAGCAGCTGGCCGGCCAGCGGCTGCGCACCTCGGCTCTGCTCGAGGAGCGCGACGCCGAGCTGCGCCAGCTGCGCGAGGCGGCCTCTGGCGCGCAGCCGGACACGGCCGCGGTGTCGGCCTCACTCTCCCAGCTGGGCCTGGAGCGGCACGAGGGACAGATGCTGCACTACATGCAGGTGCGGTGACTGGTTGGGGTGCCCGATTAGTGGGGTCAGTCAGGAGCTGCTAGACCCTGAAATAGCTACTTTGCCAGCCTCCATATAAAAATGTCAACTTAAAATGTCAATTAATACTGGCTGTTAATTATTTCACTAAGTTTAACGTCTCGATTGCCAAGAACGAATATAACACTCACAAGTCACATATATTCTCATGATAACTATAGCTCATTAATGTAAATGCCTGCATATCATTGGTATGTGCACATGATAATTGATTTTATGCCCCAGATTTTTCAGTTTTACTATCCCATGAATATACTAAATGTGTCCTTATCTTATTTACATAGTACTTAGTCCGTACCTCTGAACCTTAGCTTATCCTCGCCGCTGAAAACCGCTGCTTCTGTTCCTGCTGCAGGAGGTGGCGAGGAAGGACAAGGAGATCTCGAACCTGCGCCGGACCAAGCACCAGCTGGAGTCCACCATGCGGCAGCTGCAGAACAAGATGCTCGAGAGGGAGGAGGTGCTGCAGGACGAGGCTGAGACGCTCAGGGAGAAAATCAGACGGTGAGGAAGGGGTTTGGAGTGGGGCTGAATGGTGAGAGGGGACCAAGGGAGGGTCAGGCCGCTGATAGTGAGTCATAGAGTGGGTAGGAAATCACGACTGTGATATAGCTCATATTTCACTTTAGGTGAATTCTCCTGTTCGACGCATAGACGCTATGGTTACAAAACGGATTAAGATTCATGTCTTCGGAATACAGCTACAAAACCTTCGACAAACTTCACCATAGCCTCGTCGATATATTATAGGGAAGGGAACATGTCTTGACCTATTACACCGCACGCCTGTGCCACTGCTGGAGACCTTTGCGGTGGTGACCGATGTCTGGTCAGTACTCGATGATTGCTGCCCTCTCGGTCTCAAAGAACACATGTTGGTGGTTAGCGGAGTGGTCAGCATCTGTGACCAGACGATAATTGAGTGTAGGTGTCCTGTGCGGTCTCACAAGTGTGACCCCTCGGGGTATAAAGTCGGACCACCGCTGGGTCAGTCCACACTCCACCTGACTGGTGGGTCTCGGAAGTTAGAAGACACACAGACACCATGAAGCTGCTGGTGGTCGCCGCCTGCGTGACGGCCGTGACCGTGGCCGTGCCTCTCGACTCCCGGGTCGAGGACCAGGACGAGCTGGAGATGCACGAGATGAACGCGCCCACCTACCAGGAGGTGCAGCAGAAGATGGGCCTCGGCGACGGCGCCTCCCTCTCCCGCTCCGGTAAGGTTCTAGACTCGGTGTTCTGGAAGGAGATCGCCCAGGACATCCTGAGGACCAAGCTGGCCGATCCCGTGTACGATCATCAGGCCAAGAACGCCGTGCTTTTCATCGGAGACGGTATGTCCATCGCCACGCTGGCGGCCGCCAGGAAGCGCAAGGGTCTCCTGAGCGGCGCTGATGTGCCCGAGCACACCATGCTCTCCTGGGAGACCTTCCCCTACCTGGGACTGTCCAAGACGTACAACTGCGACCGCTGGACGGCCGACTCCGCCTCCACGGCCACCGCGTACCTGACCGGCGCCAAGGGCAACTTCCTCACGGTCGGTGTCGACTGCTCCGTCCTCATCTGGAACTGTGATGCTGTCAACGAGGCCTCCTCACCCAAGTCGATCCTCCGCTACGGAGTGGAGGCCGGTAAGTGGGTCGGTCTGGTGTCCACCGCCCGTATCACGCACGCCTCTCCCGCTGCCACCTTCGGCCACACCGCCTACCGTACCTGGGAGTCCGATGCCGACTTCGTCGCCATGGAATGGATGACCGGACCCGTCAAGGACTCATGCAAGAACGTCATGAAGGACCTGTCCACCCAGTTCGTCGAGCGTGAAGGCATCGACATCAACGTCGCCTTCGGCGGCGGCTGGGGCAAGTTCACGCCGAAGGAGGTCGAGGGTGGCTCCCGTCTGGATGGCCGTGACCTGATCCAGGAGTGGAAGGACAAGCAGGCCTCCCTGGGACGCAGCTACGCGTACCTCACCACCAAAGACGAGCTGAACAACTTTGACGCCACTTCTGCCGACTACGTGCTGGGTCTGTTCAGTCGCAGTCATATGCAGTACCGCGCTTTCCAGACCCCCGACGACGTCAACCTGACCGAGATGGTGAAGAAGGCTGTGGAGATCCTGAAGCGCGGACCGAACGGCTTCGTGCTGTTCGTGGAGGGTGCCAAGATCGACCACGGACACCATTACGGCAACGCGTACACGGCCATCGACGAGACCATCGAGCTGGAGGAGGTCGTCCAGCACGTCATGGACAACACTGACGAGTCAGAGACGCTGATCGTGGTCTCTTCGGACCACTCACACACCTTCGGTATCAACGGCTACCCGGAGCGCGGCCTGGATATGTTCGGCCCGTCCTCCTTCCTGGCTGGCGGCATGCAGAAGGGAGGCCCGCCGCCCAAGCTGCCCTATCCCATCATGCAGTACGCCAACGGTCCGGGAGGCACCGAGGACTGGGCTGAGTTCGAGGCCAAGCGCGCTCGTCTGGCCGACATGAGCGAGACGGCCGAGTGGCGCGACCCGCACTACAAGCAGATCGCCGGCATCTACCTGCCCAAGGAGACCCACGGAGGAGAGGATGTGGGCATCTTCGCGCGCGGTCCGGGAGCCCACCTCCTGCGCGGCAGCCTGGAGGAGAACGTGATCCACCACGTCATCAACTACGCCCTCTGCCAGGGAGACTTTGCCACCGTGTGCGACAAGAAATAGATTGACGGACAAAGATGCTCCAGGGGCTGGACGCGACTTGTTCCTTCCACGTTGTTGTCTTATGTCTGCGTGAATTTTGTGCCGACGTCTTTTGTCTCACCCTCTGTCATCTGATGTCATGGCATCCTCTGTCTACCGAAAATATATGTGGAAATTAATAAGTGATTTGTTGAAATCATGGATCACAAATGCGAAGCCGACAAAGGTTGTCTGGGTGGTACTAAATCACTCAACGGATGCTGACAAAATGATAAGTTCGAGTCATGTTGCACGGTGTGTGCTGCGACCAGTATCTAGAGCCGGGACCACATCCTCAGTAACAGAGCAGTCTTCTGTTACAGAACAGCTGGATGCGCTGTGGGCAGACTTTGATGATATGACTGCCTCACCTCAGTCACTCCCTAACATCAACATATAATCGAGTACTCTGTTCGGAAACCGAACCCCTCAGTCATGGTTGGCAGTGCCGGTCCTCAGATCTATGACCTCTAAGATGCCTCCAACGACAGCTGCTACATTGGCCCGGCTTCACTAACTAAAATTTGCTCTCTGAGATCTATAGACCTGAATGAGCTGTCACAATCGCTTCGCTTACCTTCTGTGACCTGACCTTTGACCCGTTTCCCATCAGATTGGAGCTAAACTCGTCTCGGGAGGGCGCCAATCTCGAGTACATCAAGAACATCGTGGTGCGGTACCTGCTGTCTACCGACGCCGCCCAGAAGGCACACATTCTGAACGCCATCTCGACGGCGCTGCGATTCTCCGACGACGAGCTGCGCCGCGTCAGACAGTGTCAGACCGCCACCTGGTGGCCGGCGGGAGCGGCCCAGAGGTGAGCCCGTGCTGCCATCTGTTGGAAAGTTACGGTACTTATAGTGTTGTACCGGCGATGGAACAGGCGGCGCTATATGATAAGAGCATGGCGCAGGTCACACCGTTTCGCTCACGGAGGAGAGGAATTACGTTCAGATGTGCCTGCCACCGACCGGCCGAGGAGGGAACAGCTGGACGCCTTGGTGAAGTTATCTGGGGACAAGAGCACCCTTCAAAGCTTACATTGTGATAAAGAAATCACTATCGAGTGAACGGGTCAGGTCCTTGCCAGTTTTTGCAATGTCACGGCTAAGTGGAATAGCAGCAAGCCTGATTGCTGTAGGCTAGGAAGACGGTCTTTTGAATGCTAGTTTGACATAAGGGTAGCGGTATTTATAATTGCTGTAGGACAAAGTTTTACAGATTTGCGGTCTGCCCCCATCACCAATTTGTCGCAGGGTTATCCATTTGCCAATGGTTCCAGGCCTCTTCCCGCCTTTACCAATGTCTGTAACCCTCTGAGACGGAACAGCTGTTTTTTTTCGACCAAACGACATTCCGGTGATGCCAGCACCTTAGCGTAGTAAGTCACTGCTTCAGCGTCTGTTGCGTGTCTTACTCGCTCTGGTTTGTCGTGATATGATTTGGACGTCACCAGAGCACCCAGTGAGGCATATTATGGAGTAACGTATTTGCAGAGGGTTGATGGGCGCACCTTGAATGTGACGTGCTCTGCAGCATCCGGGAGAGCGCATGTGCAGCTCTGCTCGAGTTCCATTTGCCTTCTGTGTCCAACATTCTGACTAGGCGAGTGGCTGTTCGGACCGCCTCTGTGAATGGGTTTGTTCCCGTCGCTCCTCTAACCTCCTCCAAGCTCCTCTAACCTCCTCTCGTTTCAAAAAATCGTTCCCGTCGCTCCTCCAAGCTCATCCAAGCTCATCTTGATTTCACATCTCACCACCACTATTTGCCTCCTCCCTCATCCCAAACGAAAGTTGGTTTTTTGGAGGAGGCTCTTGCGTAGACATATTTGGCGCACGTAATACAAATGTGAATTGTTTATAAATGAGATTTGAGGGAAGTGGAAATGATTTTAGTGATTGATGACAATTGGATATCTTTAAATAGTAATGTTTGATATTAATCTAAGGTAATTTTATTAGAAAGCGATTATTATCTCTTGATTTATGTTTGCGCGCCATAAATCGCCGACCGTTACAGCCCGCAAACAGCTGATTTCCTCGCTAAAATGTTCCCGTGGCTCCTCTGAAACGGCTCTCCTCCAAGCTCATCCAACCTCATCCGAGATTTTTTGGGAGGAGCGACGGGAACAGACCCTATGTTTGTGACCACTTCATTGCCATTACCTCTAAAGTTGTGAGCACTATGTGAACAACCACTACACCCATGAGAACAGTAAAGCTCGGTTCCCATCCAGTCTTCCCATCCTCAGACCACCAAAGTTCGTCATGGCCTTTTGTCAAAGTTCATATCCGTAGTGTCCCGTGCTGTTACGAAGTGTGAACTGGTTCGAAGTGTGAACTGGTTGTGAGGCATCAGACCTGTTCCCGGATTATAGCCTGAACGAGTGCCCACAGCGATATGAACGAGTGCCCACAGCGATATGAACGAGTGCCCACAGCGATATGGTGATATGAATTTAGGTACCGGACGCCGTGAGGACTGTCGTATCGCGCTGGTGTTACCTGTTGGTGCCGTTATATTTCGCTGGGGACCTGTGATACAGTGTGTTTTACCAGTGTTTTACTACCGCTGGATGAAAGGATAATATATTATTTAAGCATCACACCTTGTGCCTCTGTTTTTCTTCGCAGAGTTTGGAGGTAACTGCTCTTTTCTCAATCGCGACAACACACACGGCATACTCTTGTGTAAGAATATACTTTTTTAATCATAAAGCATTAATAGAACATTTGCCGAAGCGAACACACTACGCTCTTACAAAAAGCCGAGTTCGCCAAAGCGTCCAGCGGCAATAGGTATCTCTAAGTCTCCCTACAGCGCGCGTCAAGGCACAGTTACAAAGACTAAACATGGAGGCGGCGGCGCGGCGGTACGGCGGTCGCTCTGGGCCGGGCCGGGTGTCGTCACCTCTCTGACACCGCGTCTCAGTCCGTATCACAGGCGGGCGGCCGCTCAGTAGAAGCCATCCCCAAACTTGTCGGCCACGTCCAGCTCTCCGTCGTCGGAGAGGTCGCAGTCGTCATCGCACAGAACCTGCTCCAGCACTGGAAATGAAAGACAGCAGCGGTCAGCTATACATCCCAGCAATGATGGAAGACACTAATGGCTGGATGTCGCATGTTCGAGTCTCAGTTCTCACAAGCAACAGTGTTATGGCGCTGAATCCTAGTCTGTTTGGCGCTGAATCCTAGTCTGTTTGGCCCCAAGGGTGCTCGAATTAGTGGCGCTGACTCGGTCGACATAACGAAGGGAAAGCAATCCCCACTTTTACATCGCATGTCACCCTATACAAAGTTCGCTTTATCACTGATTACGTGCCCACGGCCCATTGATATAAGGACGTGTATTTCCTGCCACAGCTGCCAGAGCACATAAGCAGCAAACTCTGGATTCATGCCCCTTTAGCAAAACTCCCTTTCCAGATACCAGTCGGTCTTATCACCATCCCCGAGGATTTCGCGGTGAGTGACCTACCCTGGACGGCCTGTTCGACCTTGCGCAGGTTCTTCAGGATGCCGGCAAGGTCTCGGGAGGACGTCTTGGAGGAGGACGGCGTGTCGGTGGTCAGCGTGGTCATCACGTCGTCCAGCAGCGTGTGCCGCACGTCCTCCTCGTCAAACTGACACCTGCACACGCGAAAACACACAAACGATTGTCAGAATGATAAGTGCGCATTCATTGTTCATTGTAAAGAAAACATCCGAATATTACCTAGTCAGACATTATGACACATTGCCAAGCAAGATTGCTGTAAAGTGTAAACTCAACGGTTTTAGACTCAACAATGCTCCAAATACAATAATTTCTGAGCCACTAGCGTCGGTGAGTGGCTCCACCCCATACTATGACAGCCCTGCTGACCGACATCAAAACCCCTCAGAACCTTGGCTGTATTATGACTACCTCGAAAGGAGCTATCGCTATATACTTACTTGAGTTTGGACACGAGAGATTCAGAGTTACCGCGGATCTTGGTAGACAGCGTGTGGATGGTGGAGATGACCAGATTATCCAGCGCCTGAAACAACACCGGGGTGTGGAGGTCAGCCTGCAGTTCTGATTAGCCGTCTCACGGCCTGTGGCGGTTGGCACATAGCCCTCACCAACATAAACACTAAACAGGCAATCGCTAGTTGTGTATAAAGTAGCGGGTCCCGGATGGCTGTTAACAGGGTTAAACGGGCTAAGCGGGTTGAACAGCCGGGTCAAGTTCCTAACAGTGAGCTGGAAGGGAGACACACGTAGCCGCGTCGAACAACAGCATACACATTGCCCACGTAAACATTCATTCCCGAAGCGACACAATTTGAAGGTTCGCTTTCGCACGCTTTTGACGATCCCAATGCGATGAAGCCCCACGAAGCAGTGAAGTAACCACTCGCACATCCAGCTGGAACACATGATTTTTGGGATACTTGTGTAAATAAACTTCAACGAGTATGTGACAACCCACCACATATTTAGCCATGCATAATTTACAGCGCATGCACTTCACACCAGCATGCACATGCAGGCCGGCCGCTGTTCCCGAATTACTTCTGCTCCTGCAGTGCCAGGTCAACCAAGATCACTCACAAAACTCAAAAACACACACACACCCTCGTCCGTACCTCCAATTTGACCTTGTTCTTTAGCGACGCCGGCGCCGGGCCGCGGCTCAACCTGCGCGAGCCGTCCAGAGACACCTAGCGGGAGTGGGCGCAAACAGAGGTGGTCAGAACGGCCGCCGGCGGCGCTGGCGGCGGCCGGGGCGCGCGTGGCAGATGGGCGAGGCCGACACCAGAGTGGCAGAGTCCCACTGTACAACAGGGTCACAGAAAGCAGGCGGCGCCGGCCCGATCCACGGTAGGGCATTCAGCAGTACGTGCTCGAATCACCGCGCTCCCTGGTGCACTATCCCGTCCCAGTGCTGCTGTGTACGGGTGTGGTCGATATTGGTGCACGGTGCGTGTCGGGGCGTCAGTCACCTATCCACAAACCAAACACACAGACGTCCACATACCAGTAACTTCACAGATAGTGTCCATCGTCCATGAATATCCATAAATTAACCAACACCGGATCTCCATTCACTATGTCTGAACGAAGTACGAACCTCTGTAACCGTCCACACTAACCAGCCCCTCCTTCCACCCACATGCCCCTTACCTTCCGTGTCGACGACGCAGCCGACGCACCATCGTGGAACACATCTGACGGGTCGCTGTCGTCCGGGTGACCGAGTCGATGGGTGGGCAGCGCGGCCCCTGACCTCGCGGCGACCAGCGGTGAGCGGCGACGGACCGCCGACTCGTCCTCCGACCCGGCGGCCGCGGAGGAGGCGAACGCTGAGCGCCGGAGCAGGGCCGAGCCGAACCCATCCGTGCCGTGAAACGAGGCGGAGCGCAGCGGCGCCGCTGTGTTGCTGGGGAGAGGGGAGGGAGGGTTAGGTAAGGCCGAGAGGGCGAAAGGCGAGTCAGTGGCCGAAGACGTGGGCAAGGACGAATGATGCAGATAGGGAAATAATCATAGAGAAACGGTGGCCGAGACAAAGGAAGACGCACATGACGATATCAGGCGGCGGCTTGGCTTGTGAGAGCCGAGTCAGATGCAGAGGTAGAAGGAAACGGCGACGAAGAAAGCAAGACACGAGTGAGAAAAAGCCAGGACAGACACAAAAACAAAGAAAGAGCGAATGTGAGACAGAGCCGAAGATAGGCGGACTGAAAACATTCCAAAAATGGACAACCCGTGATTGGCAATACCGAAGGTCCAAAAAGGCTATCCAATAATTACGAAAAACAAAACATGGGCGACAGAGCGAATACGTTTGGGCATCTCATCCGTCAATAGCTCTGAATCACTCAAACAAAAACCGGCTGGGCTGTGGCCAGTGTTACGCCATACGATGACCCGACCCAGTGTTGTGACAGACGAAGTCCTTATAGGCCCGGACACCACATTATAAAATCACATTACGACACTTTCACAAAACACAGACGTGTTACGGCTTCAACCTACACACTGCCAATGTTTTTTCAAACCACAGCAAGACGCATCCAGCCCACAGTCTTCTTCTAACCCACGCCACCACCACATTCCTGCTAGCCCACACTACAATCTAACCGGCTGTAGTCCGGGCTCCTACCGCGCAACCTGTCCTCCCCTCCTTCCTCAGACACGACTCCTCCCAGCGACTCACCAGGTCGTATCGCTCTGTGACCCGCCACGCGACTCTGTCTTCTTATTCCTCGCCTCCTTGGCCGCCTTCAGCGGGTCGTAGTTCTTACGCCGCTTCCAGTTAGCCATCTCCTGGTCTCGAGAGGCCTGGGCGGCCTGGGCGGCCGCGCGGGGTCCGCTGCCCAGCGCCCGGCCCGGCGGTCCGCCCGAGCCGGGCGTCTTCCGGGCCGCCGACGGTCGGGACGGCGGTGTCTGCAAGGGGAGGGAGACGGTCAGTACCTACTCAGTGTTTCTGAAAAAGAGGGGCGTTTTACAGTCGAACACGATTCAAGAAAACTGATTCAAGAACACAGAGCTCCTTACTGATAACTAATGATTCTTGTCAAGTCTTGGAGACCTAACAAGCACTTGGTGGCGTGCGATCAGTGCCGTCTCGATAAATCGAATGGCTAAACTTTAACAAGACACAAGCAACACACGACAACCGAAGCACGACAACCTCTCGCCGTTCACACCAACTTCTCGCCCGTCATTTACCCGTCACACCTCCCCGTGCCGGAAATCCGGCAGTTCCCCACAGCACCAGAACCCGGTCCCCAGAATAATCAGCTCCAAATTAGTCTCGGCATGCAACCTGACGACGCGGCATCGCCAATCCACTGATCACGTCACGCGAGAGTCCGAGACGGCGACAGCCGTCGGCGCCGCCGCTGGCACTGTCGTCTGATGGGCAACCCATCTCCGCGCCATTCTGAAGACAGCTGGTTCGCACGCCGGACCCGAAGGCGCCCGTATCCGGCGGTTTTACGATGCTGGTCACCGTAGGTAGCGTCGTTACGTGAAGACCGTCAATCACGTCTCACGTGGCGTGATTGGCCCGATGCATTCGGCAATGATGACGGGCCCGTTCACACTTCACGTCATAGGCATGAGGTCAAAAGGAGTATGGTCCGCGTACAAGAAATGGATATAAGGACTGCGCTAACAGAAGGGAATGAACAATTTTATTGAAACTCGTCTAGCTTTTCCTGTCATTCTCTGTTCACGCTCTTTCCATTCCTTTAGTCCTCCAATCGGCCTGTCCCCTATCAACTCGTAATTACACATATTCTGACTCCCACAGCCTTTCACCCAGCCTCCACCCACCTTAGTGTTTCCGTTGGCCATCCTCAGACTGTATCGTCCGCCGTCGGAGCGAGCGAAGGCGGCCTTCCCTCCTCCTCCTGACTCGGAGTCGGAGTGTTTGCGTCCTCCGCTGGAGGGTCGCGGCGGAGTGGGCCTCTTGGAGGAGCCCGAGGTGGCGCTCTCCGTGTCCAGACCGAGTCGGGCCCGGCGCAGACTGGTGGAGCGACGGGCGGGCGGTTAGAGACGGGAGCCACGGGCAGTACAAAAGATAGATACTGCGGGTTGAACAAATGGGTGATTACTGCTCAAACGGCCCAGCTTAGCTCCACAATTTGGACGACACTTGCAAAGCCTGCGAGGAAACGATAAATACTAATATTTTCAGACATCTTGGTTTTTAACGTACTTAGCTTCAGCATTTATAAGTTTCGAAGCGTCTGACTGCAAACAGGGTATCAATGGCGACGCCCATCTGGTAGTCACAGAAGAAAACATTCACCAGAAACGATAGGACTCAGACAGAGATGACGAAACAAGGTGAAATAAATCATTATTCGGACAGCACTACGGCTTGCGGAACATTTGATGGAAATGATTTGATTTTACAGCGTCATAACTGAATGGTTATATAGCTTCAATCGGTCCAGTCTCGCGCAAAAACAGCCCAAGAACAAAGGCGGATCTCACTGAGAGATAATGCAAAAAGACACTCAACCGAATCAGTTGACGGAGATTCACAGACAAGAGGAAGTGCACAATCCGGACAAGTGTCACGTATTGATATATCGACACATCAAGACAGACTATGTCATAACACATCGCAGTCAACTCGAAATAGCACCACTGAGTGTCACTCAGTAAAACCGTTGAGTTGAGACATTCTCCCACTTTTCTACGAATGCATTTCGAGTCCTCGTCGAACTTAATTTTTTACCATTGATATTCTTCCTGAGCATCCTAACCACCAAAACGTATCCCTTCCTGCCTTACCCACTATCTCTCGCCCCCCCCCCCCCCGCCCACACTTACCTCAGCGCTCTGTTGAACTTGAACTCCGTGGTGCCGCCGCCGGTGGGGCCGGTGCTGCGTTTCTCGGCGCTGGGCGGCGGCCCGGCCGGTCCATCGCTGCCCTCGCTGGAGCAGACAGAGTCCGAGTCGTCGGCCGTGTGGGCGGCGTCGATGCGCGCCTGTAGGGCCGACATGACGTCCTCAGTGGTGCGCAGATAGGACTCGGTGTCCAGACTGGCGCCGGCGCCGGCCGACCGGCTGGGGGACGACTGGGGGCGGACAGAAGGGGGACGGTAAGACAGAGGACGGACACAGAGGGACGGTTAGACAGGCTGGGAGACAACTGGGGGCGGACAGAAGGGGACGGTTAGACAGAGGACGGACACAGGGGGACGAGTAGACAGAGGACGGACACAGGGGGACGGTTAGACAGGCTGAGAGGCGACTGGGGGCGGACAGACGGGGACGGCTTGATTAGACAGGGTGGTAGATGAGTTAGACACTAGACAGGGTGGCCGGCGGTGTTAGACAGTGTGGCCGGCGGGTTAGATAGCGTAGTGGCGAAGTTAGACATAGTGGCAGGCAGGTTTGCAGAGTGGCAGAGGGGGACAGGTAGGGTGGCAGTCAGGTACAGGTAGACAGGTTCAGCAGACAGTCTAGATCATTATTTCACTCAGGAACACGATTTGACAACTTCAAATAACAGACTGACATTTCATTCTGGTCTACAAACAATGTAATTTTATTACCCTTAAAATTTAGCACATTATCCGCAAACCGTAACAGCTAAAAGATTTAAGTTACACAGCTGCCCGGTATAACAGCTACATGCTACATGGCACCAACCAGCAGCCGACGGCGCATGAAGCGTGGACGAAACACGTTCTCCCAGCTGAGAGAGGCCATTGCCGCTACAGTATCGCGCTTCTTGGGAAGGATGTGGGCTAGTAATTCCACTCGAAAATACCACTAGATGCTGGTAGATAAGCGTCTATTCCAGACAAGAGTGGTAGTCGTTCGACACGTCGATTAGCGCACGGCTTCTCTTCACCATCACAAACTTAACACTTGACCAGCCTCCGCTCTTCTTAAACCAGCCTAACGGCTATTCTACATCACCAGCCTACACCAGTGGCACCGCACAGTGAGCCCTGTCCCCCGCTCCCTTCGGCCGCCGTTCACACAATACCCCACCCTCACTGGTCACAGACTGAGCTATGGGTGTGGTCCCTACCCAGGTAAGGCCCGCGCCCCACCTCCTCGGAACATCGATTTCCTCCGGAACTGCAGACGGGCGTGGCCCCGCACCCAGGCAGCCCAGTGGGGGGAGGGGGGCGGTCACGACAGGTCAGCTGATTGGAGAGGGGGGTTCGTGACTGGTTGCCATACCCTGCCGCCGTGACGCCAGCTAGGATAAATCCAATTATCCAGCCTAAATATGTGGGCTGTATCTCAATTTTGTCCCCCCGCACAGTGTCCTTTAGAGTCTTGACCAGCCAATGGTATTGCGGGCGCCTTCTCAACACTCAAGTCTGGGGTACTGTGGGGACTGCTCACTGCTCAGTCGAGGGGGAAGAACACGTCTATGTATAATTGTGTGACGTATCTGATCTTACCTTCTCCCCCGCCCCTGTGACCGGTGACCGGCTCAGTCCCGGCGGCGTGGGCAGTTTCCTGCGCGGCCGACTGGCGCTACCGTCAGGACTGACAGTCTGCCGCGACCACGGACTCGAGCTGCCCGTCGGCGGCTTGGTGGTGGCGCCTGTGACATGGGCCAAACAGGTTTATAAATGAGGTCCTTTTCTGGTGCAAGGCAGGTCTAAAACATTTTGTTATCCTTGGGAAGTGCATACTCCGGCACATGAATTTTTTAAGTTTATTCGTCCAAGACAGTCTAGAAAATGTGAGAAGAGAACACTATATTACAATCTATGTCCGGAACCAGGACTGAAACAAAAATCCCAACGCAATCCACACAAACACAGCATAACAGGGCTCCGAAACGAGCACACATCATCCAGTTAGATACAACCAGCATCTTAACCCGCGCCCTGATGGGGGGGGGGGGCATTTTGGCCCCCCCCCCCTGTGGTTTTTCTTAAATAGCGAGAAAACGGCGGCGCGCAGCGCCGCCAAATTTTGGGTACCTTACCGGGCATCAATTTGACACCTTCACACAAAATTTCAAGTCACAGGTCACCTCAGGTCAGGAGTTATTGAGGTCAAACTGAGGTCATGTTCGAGTAAAAATGAGCAAAAAACATGACATCTTGAAACGCTCACCAATTCTACAGTTAACAAGCAATTTTAAAGTTCTTTATGTGGTTGTGTAGAGAAAAGACGGCGCTACAAAACTGCTATCTCGGATTTTCGAAATTTTGGGATTTTGACCCCCAAAAATCAAAAAATTGATTTTTTTAGAAAAACTCAAAAAATTTCCAAAAATTTTTCGAATTTCGAAAAAACCGGAATATATATGATAGTCCCTGCGCTCTTCGATATACATACCAAATTTTAGATCGATACCTCTTTTTTTGGCCAAGTTATAGCGAAAAAACTGTTAAAAATTGATGACGTCAAATTTTTGAACTCAATTTTTAGCAATTCTAGACCTCGTAGCGCAAAACGGAGACCACCATTGAACTCCCCGTGACGAGCTGCATCGAATCGATACCCATTTTATGCAAAAATATCAACTTTGAAATTTGACCTAATTTGACCTGACCTTGACCTGACCTTGACCTGACCTTGACCAAAACGTGACCTAAGCTGGCCCTAAAGTCTGTCTGACCCACATAATCGCATTTGTCATGTAAAATGGACCATAAAACATGTATCACACGACACTTTCATATTGTGACCCCCCCAGTGACCTGACCTCTGTGACCTGACCTGGTATCAGTGACCTCAAATAGCAAAATATGTGTCTGAAGAACATTTCCCCATCGATGATTTTCAATGAAATGCATTTTACACGATTTTACAACGCATTTCTTGAAATGCCTGTAAACGGTGAAAATTCGACCTTTGACCTGACCTGTGACGTCATCGGTTTGACCGAGGTCAATGAAATTGGGTCACAAGGTAGTTCCCCGTTGGGGCTATCCAACACCGTTTACCGCTTGTCGCTATGTTGCGTGGTTCTCGAGATCTGAGGGGGGGGGGGGGGGCCAAAATGGCCCCCCCCCCCCCCATCAGACCACGTTGCTCGGCAGACCCCATCTGGGCGCGGGATAAGCGACGCGGGGCAAACGCGGAGGCGTGTGACGCTTACCTGGTGACGGCGCCTTCTGTGCCTTCTTCAAGTTCTCCTGGTTGTGTTTGGTGACCTCTGCGGCCCACTGTTCGATCCAGTTTGAGCCGCCCGAACTGTAGGCGGAAGGCTGCAGAGAGAGGTGGGAGAGAGGGAGAGGGTCAGAGCAGACATAGACATAGTGGGGAGAGTCCAGAGAGTAGACACATAGATAAAGACAGGCAGACTAACCAGATATTAAACTCCTCAGACAGGCAGACACGCCATTCAGACAGCAGTCAGACATATCCATGAGACAGGCAGACACACCATTCAGACAGCCATGTCCCTCAGACAGTCGCCCATATCCGTCAGACAGACAGGCCGGGCCACTCAGCCAGATGAGTCTACCGGCGCGGCGGCAGGTGACCGCCCCACCCCTCCACTGGGACCAGCTGTTCAGTTCACTTTGAAAGCGACACTGTATGTACCGTCAGCCGTTATTGCCCATACTGCACGCTGGGAACGGTTACCGGCGGCGCGGCGCCACTTTCTGTCGGCCGCATCGTCGAGCAGCGCCCGGACAAATTGTCAGCCCGGAAACGGTCCGAGGCACGCCAATTCGGAGAGCGGGTGGCCGTGAAATGTCCCGTCAAAGTGGCTCGTTCGCGAGGGAATGGCGAATAAAGGCGACCACGGGGTAGACCGTGAATGGTGAGGTATTTGGTCATAACGCAAGGCGGAAGTGACTGACAAATGGTAATTTTAAAATAACAAGGGAGTGCAAATGCTCTAATACTGAACTTGAACTAGTGATGTCAACGCTGGTAAGTAAAAATTATGAAACATTTTGACAGTGCACATAAATGTTTTACATTACGATGAAGACCAAGTCATGGGGTGACTGACTCAGCATAGAAGCGGCACCTGCCCCTCACCCTCTGCCCATTCTGGAATCACCCCTCCGCCCATTCCGGAAAAGTCCCTATCTCTAGTTTCCGTACCCAACTCGGAGAAGCCCCCCTTTTCCTCGGCACCCGGCATCTTGGAGTCGAGGAAACTCTCTCTGTCTTCCCCGTATCCACGGTATAACAGTCTCCCTTCCCTCCAACTATAACCTCGTACCAGTCATACCACACACTACCTCACACCCATCCCTCACCTTCGAAGACGTCTCAGTGTCTCGGTCGGGACTGCCCTCCTTGCTGCTGCTCTCCGCATCACTGCGGCGCTCCTCTCCATAGTCCTCCAGCCCTCCGAACGCTTCATCCACCTGTCTCGCCGCCTCCTCCCCATCGGGCTCATTCTCAATCGTGTACGTCCCGGCCTCGCTGACATCGTCCGGAGTATCCTCCTCCCGTCCTCCTCCGCCGCGGGAGGACGGCTCCTGCTGGCGCGGCGGCATGGCGCCCATGGTGGCTGACTTTTTCAGTCCGGAGCTGGCCGGTACGCGGGTGACGGTGGCTCGTCGTGCCGCCAGTCGCCCGGAGCCGGAGCCGGAGCCGCCGCGGGGGGATGGAGTGCGGGCCAGCGCGGACTGGCGCGGTAACGCCGCTCGGCGACTGCTCTCTGTCGGAGATAGAGAGGGGTTCGGTCAGTTGTTAGGCAGCTTTGGGGCAAGGGACAGACGGAAGAAAAAACTGGGCTGTTGTAGGGCACGGGATATTACACTAGGTGAGCAAACTAAGAAAAGTGAATAGATCCTGCGACACAAAGAGAGTGAAGTGAATACACCCAACAACATAACGCATCGTTGCGTGTAAATACAGACCAAATCATTGTCAGCGCTATTTCTTTTATGATTCTAGCTATGCGTCACCATTCAGATCCGACTTTCACTAATCGTGTAAACATGCGCCAAGTGCAAGTTTCACATACTGTGATGCACCGGGACAAGATAGCACACATCACCTCATCACAGAACAAGCCGACTTCGCACAGACAGTCGATGCGACACAATCACTAAACACCATCGCAACTCGCAACAGGTCCGCAATACGTGACACGTCACATTAGTCTCGCTCAGCCTCCGCGGCGTCGGGCGGGGGCGGACAACAAATGGCAGACGATTCGGCGACTGCGGCGCATCCCAGTGACGTCAGCGGTTGAGCTGACGTCATCGGTCGGCCGGGTCGCACACCTGTGCGAGTCGACCCACTAGGGGCGGGCAGATGATGCTGTGTGGTATTCGGTCGTATGAAGTTCCGTGTCCTGTCCACGCAGCCCATTTGGCGAACGTGGTAAATCTTCTCAGCTAATGGGTAAATGACAGCTTCTGCGCTCCGAAAGAAGGGTCGTAGCTGAACACATCGATGCGGAAATGAATGAAACTTTTTGAATGTCGCAGGTTTCGAAATAAGCGACGCACGACTGCAGTGACCTTCGCAGCAACCTTACCAATGCATCAAGTCCTGCAGGACCACCTGTTGTCAACTCTGCGCACCGTCCTGTTTCGCAGCCCCTTCACTCGCACAGCACAACTAGCCATACCCCACGCCGGACCATCCGTCGCATCCTGTCCCAGTTCTCATCAGTTCAGCAGCTGACGCGGCGGCTTCAGCCGCACCATGGCGGCGCCGCGGCTGATCGTGCCGACACCAATCCACGCGGCGTGGTGCGGCGTGGAGTGGCGCACTGCCGGCGGCCAATGCGGCGCCCACGCGCTGTCCCGTCGCGCCGATTTCGCCGCAGCCGCAGCGGCGCTCTCTCGCCATCCGGTACGCCGGCGGAGGTGGCGGCGCTGACCGCAGACCGGTCGGTCGGCCGGGCGAGTGGCGTAGGGCTAGGCGAGCTGAGAGGTGCGAAGGCACGCCGCACACTGAAATTCAGCACCAGAGAGGGGCGCTCGAGAGGGGCAGGTGAGGAAATTGGAGGTGGTGGGCCACAAACCGAGAACAGCATAGAGTAGGAGGGCAGGTAAAAGACAGAACCATGGACTTCGGCGAAGCGGATAGACGAGAAAGAGAGGAGAGAGGAAGCCAGGTCTCGCCCGCCTTCGCTCCGCCTCTCGCCGTGCGCTAATCGCAGTCAGACAGGCCGTCCGACGCACACACAAACAGACCACTGGCGCACACCGCGCCAGGGTATATTGACTTACAGGGTATGGTCATTTGGCAGCCCAGGATTTGTGACCGATAATGCGCAGCAAAGACATCTCTGGCGCATGCTTTTAGCATGATGATTCTTTTTACAATATATGACGTATTTATTATTTTATTACAGTTTTGTGATGATTTTTTGTTTTTTTTTTTAACTTTTTAACCTTTATATATTTATTATTTTTTATTTCCAAATATTCAATGTTGTTGTCAATGCTGTGGATATCTTTAAAAAAGAATTAACGTCATCAAAGATTGAGTGAAACAATTTACTACTTTCACGTAAACTTGACCTTGTTGGTAATGGGAAAAATGTAATGTAAACACTAAACATATCAGTCTCTGTGCTAATGTTGATTTGTGGTAATGTAAAAGCTAGTTATTTCTTTGAATTGTGGTGGAGTTTTGGTTCAGTAGGTATGATATGTAAATTAACCACCCGCTGAAATTCAATGCAAGCAATTTTGAGCTGAAATTTCTGCATCATTTGCGCTGAAAGCTGGGGTCGTGCTGTGAAACATCAAAACTCACCTTTTCAACTCACCTGTTTGGGGTTCCCTGCCTTTAAGAGTACAACATAGAGGCGCAAATGTAAGCCCCAATAAAACAAGCCCCTGGCCGGAAGTTCAAACCCTCTTCAGACCCGCTCGCAGGATGAGTCTGCTGCTAGATTTACCAGCGTGCTGAAAAATTTGGTGACCACCATTCCCAGTAAAATTCTGCTGCAGCCGTGCACCGAAAAATTCAGCGGCCACCATGCGCTGAATTTGGCGCATGCGAAATTACACCAGGCTGCGACTTGTGCTGAAATTTTTGACGCAATTCTGCCATTACTCCGAACATATTTGGCATGTGTATTTTTTTTTCAGTCTGGGCGTGGCGCAGCCAGAGCAGCTCTGCGCTCCAAGGTCCTGTGGTGGTGAGCGTCTCGCCTCACCAGAGGTGGACTGGCGATGGATGCCAAGATGCCAGCTTTCAAACACCAGGTCCCAGAATCAATGTGTAAGTATGTACATTTACCTTTCCAGACTTAGCTTTGCCTTAATAATGCTGTGATTGTTTGGAAGACTAATAAATCTTGCATGCTTTGTACACAGGATGACTAGACCATTAGGCAAAACATTTTACCTGCATTAAAATTGTGCTAGTGAGTGGTGACCATACCAATATGCATGTTGCTTTCTTGTCCATAAACCATTTTTTGGAAGAATTGATTCAATGCAACTTGAATAAAAATATGTACAGTTGTCAGTTACACATAAGCAAATACCATTTTACTTATTAAATTTAGAGTTGCTCAGTGATTGCACAGTTTCTGAAAGAAAGATGGGTATCATGATGCCTGTTGTTCTCGATTATTTGTTTTATAGGGGTGCTGCAGCGTCAACAGGCTCATGATACTTACTACCCTTTTATTATGCCCTTTGTCCACGCCATTGACAATTATTGTTCTGCAAGAAAAAGTATAAATTAAGTGTTTTTGCTGGATAAAGGATGGGATTTATTTGTTTGTTTCTTTTTGTAACTACACGCTCTGCGGCTGAGCCTCTACCTGTATGGAGTGTGCCGTGTCATGCTGCGCCGCGCATAAAAACGCATTATGTTATGCCGTCCTAATTGCCTCGCATCGTATCCTTTAAAGACAATAATTTAAGCGTGAGCGTAACGTGAAAGGCCACAACATCGAGAAACTCCGACACATTTTTTCCCTATTTGTTGTCAGGTCTCCGGAATGGCACGACAGAAAGTCCGACCCGCCTACGAGCTGCTGTCTGCTTCGTGCGGTCTGGCCGCACAGACGTACTCGGTGCATGCCCGGAAAGGAGAAAGAGACAGCCTTCCTCTTCACCATTGACAGCGGCATGGACGTCCTCAACAGCGGCCATCCGAGGGACGCCAAAACACTGCGGAGAGACTGCTCCAGCACTCCCGGGCAGGAGGACGCCCTCTCTAAGCTGGTGGAAGAGGTGGAGGGACTGCGCTTCGGCTCAGCTGGTCACCTCCTCCCGTTCCAGAAGGGTCTGGTAGTGACAGTGAAGGCGGTGCGGGGTCTGCTCGCTGACGTGCAGCAGCGTTTTGGCCCGGACTGCTAACTGCTACTCCGCCACGTCACCCAGAACCGGCTTTAGGGCTCGTTCAGCCACATCCGCGGCTCTGGCGGCGGAAGCCCCAACCACACGACGACAGAGGTGAAGGGGCGCCTCCGCCTGTTCACTCTGATCCAGCTTGCGCGTCACGGGCCCACGGCGTGCAGATTAAGAGTCGCTCACCCGCGGCGCTCCCGGTACCAGCGGCGGAGGCGGAGGCGGGGGCAGAGCCGGGGGCAGAGCCGGAGGCAGACGAGGACCAAGCCGACCAGGCGCAGATGGTGTGCTGGAGGCGGTATGCCCTGAGCCGCCCCAAGAAGTTCCTGAGGGGACGGAGAGCCTGGAGCCCGTTCCTGACGAGCCAGCCCCGGACGCAGAGGAGGAGGCGGAGCAGGAGAGGGCGCAGCTACTGCGGGAGGCCGAGACAGTGCATATACCGCCTGCGCCCTCAGCGGCGTTGGACGCTGAGATTGGTGTGCCGGCCACCGAAGGTGCAATGGCGCATCTGGCCGGCTACATCGCCAGAAAATGCGGCCCCAGCTTCGGCGCGCTGGCGATGGCATCTGAGGACGCGCCAGTTCAGACGCTCTGGACTCGACTGCGCAGCGCGGCCGGCGGACTCACGATCCCCTCCCAGCCCTGCTTAGACCTGTTTAATCAGCTCGAGGCGGAGTTCATATATGTTTCACGTGTTCGCTGAAGTGTCTTGAAAATGCCGGCGACAGCGGCGGGGCGCATCTGATCGGCACAATGTTACAGATCAGGATCCGTCCTGTCTGGAGGTAGTCGGACCGGTGTTTGTCTAGCCAGATGTACTCCATCGTATCACTGATGTTCATCTGTAAGGCTGTGTTCTTGCCTAATGCTGCTTCCACCCATTCAGTCAGTTTTGAATTGTAATAGAGGAAGCCAGACGTCATAGATGTCTTCGTTTAAGGGATTGTTTTCGCATGTCATGCATCGGAAATACAATCAAAATAGAATTAATTGATGATCAGCTATGCAACCGCAAATCAGCAGCATCGAATCTATGTACAGTATTTTTATGCACTTCTACAACCGAAGTGATCCGACGAAACACCAGCGACCATCAGCCAAAATATAACTTATATGCCCTGGAACCACAAGTGTTTGCTAATTCGATGCACATGAATACCGCGACTTTTCATGGAAATCAACAGTTGTCAGTTATTATCACCGGTTACCAAAAACGTTATTGCAAGACATTCATTTCAATGATAGCAACACAGCAACGCTAGTCAATGGGATGTAGAACTTCTTTCGGTGGCATATTTTGCATACTTCTCTACTTTTCTTCAGTAAAACTGACCCGGGATGCATAAGGTAATCCATTTAGCTTTGAAATGACATTAGAAGTTTTGATTTGAGTTTCATAGTTCCTGAGATAATGCGGCTAGAAAAATGGCTAAAATCAGGGATTTTCCCATAGCTCAACATTAGTGAAGGAAAAACTTCAAGCTCTGGTGACGTCACGTGAGGAGGAAGCTGCCAATGACAATGACCGGGGGCCGCACCGCGCCCTATCGCAGCACGAGTCCAGCGCAGCGCGGCAGGAGAGCCATTAGACGCTTCGTCACGTGTTATCATAGAGAAACAGGCCTTCACTCATTCTGGGCGGCAAACATGCCAGAGCGAGATACCGTATAGTTCTGTAGGTTACGGTACAATATGGCATGGTCCGATACAGTCCGGCCTCTTGGCGCAGCTCCGGGCTGGTCTGCCACCCCGTCGTTCGCTAGGTCTGGTCGGTCGGTCGGTCGGTCGGGCAATCTGGTGCGGTCCCAGGGCGGCGGGGAGAAAGTATGACTACCGGGCACAGTTGGGCGCTGGAAGTCCAGGCTGAGCTGAGTCGCTGAGTTCAGTGGCTTTAGGCTCGCCCGAGTTTGCTAAATGCTAACGACCGCTACTATCACTACCACCACAGCCAAGCTACCGTCAAGGCAGAGAAAGGCTGTGCTAGCATTAGTATTGCTGGTGCCCTCGCGGTAGCACCAGCCGCTAATCACCCAGAATGTATTCATGTGACGCTTGGTGTACGGCACAACGCTCCACTGTCCCTGAATAAACGCTAATTGGATACACCAGCAGAGCCGCATACCTGCCGTCTACGCTGTCCAATAAACACTCCGGCATCATCACTAGCCCATCCAACCCGCCTGTCTAACCAGTCACCCAAGGTCCCATCCATTCAACATTCACCTTTAATGCCTGCAAGTTCTTCTTACTCTTTCCTCTTCACCCAGTATGACCGACCCTGTCCCTGAAGTCCCTTCCAGTGAACCCAAAGGTCACGCTGGCGTCCCCTCCAGTGACCTCCGACTGACCTCTCGAGTCAACATCCTGGTCTGAAGAGAAGTAGCCCTCCGAGTGGTAGCCTGGCGCGCCCTGGCGGCGGCGCAGCAGCGACCGGGGCCGCGGCACGCCCGACCCGGCGACCTTCAGGTCACCGCTGTCTGAGCGTGTCTGTGAAGAGAGACAAGGTCACACCGTCAGCGGGGGGTGGACGGGCACCGCGGCGTCACGAACGGGGCACAGGGGAGTCACGTAACGCACCGTCACGGGGCGGATGAAATGACGCGAGTGGTGGTAAGGTGGGGATGTGACGCGAATTCGAAATGGCGCTTCCCTGTTCGGGAGGTGGTGGTTATGACGCTTCAGACAGGCGCACAAGGAGTGCTAAGAAATCACATGACTGGCTGCAAGACTGAAAAATGGGTGCTTCAACAGCGATCGTGTCATGTCTGTAGAATGGGTGGACGGACAGACAACGGACAGCGACATTGAAACGACAGGCGACATAGCAGTCACCGGTTAAGCTAGCCCTTGTAGTTGCAGTCCGTTAAAGTACCAAACCCCACAGAAGCTTTCGCTAGCCCCGGACAGTGGACAGTGCTAGCCTCACGAGTCGCGAGTCTGACTTTGTGAGTCGAGTCAAGCCATGAGTCGGTCAAGCGCATTATCGCTTTTTGTCAAACGTTATGCACTACAAATGAGTCGGAGTCATATGTCAAACAAATCAAATAGCCATTCACAGTACCTACTTTAACAGCGAATCAATCAGGCACAGGAAGACCTATTTAACCAACTGTCCATCAGCCCACCAACACATCATGGCACACCTCCACTGCTGTGAATATATAGTGGGATTAAATGTCTTCAGACAGTCACCATTATGCTGAAGAGGCCCCACGGCTCCGCGGAATAGTTTTCACCTCTCACAGTCGAGTCCATTTGCGGAACATTAGCTGATCTCGAGTTCAGAAGTGGAGCGAAGTGTTTACCAACTCTCACGGCAATCACAGGTTACACGATTAATCATACCCGTGGTTATCGCACACCACATAGCGGAAATCGTCGTCATTACGAGCTGAAAATTCGGCGAAACGATGACTCCTGGAAGACAGCAGTGAACTAAAAACTGAGGAGGTCGCGAAAAGCGCGTCGCTTTTTGTCCCATTTCTACATCAGCACATCAACAGGTTCCACCTGGATAGATCGGTTTGAACTGTCAGCAAATATTGCAGATATGAGTGACTCCAAAATGGCACAATGTCGTGACATATCGCTCCACTAACACACTTTGCCGCTACAATATACAGACTGACGCAGACCTTTGACATCGACCGACGTCTGATAACCCCGTTTCTAGCCCTTGCACCAATTGATCAAAAAGTTCCGACGGCACCCGACTCCACATGGTCTGGTCTGGCGAGGTCTGGTGTGCCCCGCGGCTATGTTATTGTATCACATAACCATCGACGGCACCATCTGCCCACTGGTCACGGTCAGGGAGCCTGGTGACAGCCAGCGGCAGCAATGGCATTCCCACTGCCCAGTGCCCAGCCGTCGCGTCGGCTGGCAGAGACCAGAGCCTAGCCCAGACAGACCGTGACTGCAGAGTTCCTGACCACTGACCGGTCATTGGCCGCTGAGGCAGCTCATCCGTAAGTGTTCGTGACCACTCCTCTGAGGACGACCCTTTAACAATGAGAGGCTCGAAGTACGGCGCTGGGAGTCATTCACCATGGAGCTTCAGCCTCGTGAACCGACGAATGCGCTACTTTTCTAGACCCCGGTCAGTTTTGGATTACTATTCGCCCTCAGAAACCCTTCTCTGTGATCTCTGGTTAGTCTCAAAGGTTCGCGAAACTGCGCAGTGCCGCGAGTTCGCTGGGGCCGCGAATGGGCCAGATCTGTCAGCGTTACCAGCGGTGGTATCCTCCCACCCCTCCCCTCCCCCAGCCGCCACGGATTGACGCCACAACCCCGACGAACTCAGACCTTATGACTCTGGAAACACATCCAGAGAACCACCGACCCACCGCCTGCCGGTGAGAGTGAGCCAAACCGCAGACAATGCATGAGATCACAGCGGGCACACCGCCAGGCGCGCCTTCTCTTCCCATCCGCAGCCATCGGCGGAGAGCCCCCACTGCGGGCCATTCAGATTCCATAGCCTGCCGAATCCGTCAGAGCCGGGAGCGGATAGGTCACTGCCAGCGCCGGCAGAGGCGAAGGCGGTGATAGAGACGAGGGTAGACTGCGGAGGCGAGAAATCGTCACCCGGCACCGACCCCGACCTTGGCCGGGCGCCGATCCATGGGGTAGATACGACCGCTGCCCGGGGAGCCCGGAAGTCGAGCGGAGGCCACCGGCCGCCTGTGGTCAGACACAGAGACGGCAGCGGTGCGGCGGGAGGCCCCGACCCAGCCTCCACGCCTCGCCCGCCGCGCAGATAAACAGACAGGCACAGCCGCGCACTGCGGCCGGCGCGGCCGGCGGCGGCCCGGTCTGTAATAAATACTGCACCAAGAGCCACGCGCCGCCGGCGGTCGGCGATTCGAGCCGCTCTGCGCGGACACAGGCCAGGCGCTCCGCGGGAGGCTGGTGTAGGCCAGCGGGCAGGAGATACAGAGGACGGTCGACTGGCGATCTCTGAGTCAGTCACCGTGTAAACATGTCAGTTTGGTCGCCTGGTCAGCACACTGAACCCAGCTGGACTGGACAGTGTGATGTCCAACTTACCGCGACCTGTGGACACAGGACAGCGGCCGAGACGAGCAAAACACTTCACACGGGTGACGACAAACAGCGCCATCCCTCAGTATCCGGTCAGAGGACGGACAAAGACGCCGAGAGGACGACGAAAGAGCACAAACCACTGGTTGGTGCAACGGACGATAAGCATCGAGAGGAGGGTGAATAAGATAGCAACACCTCGCGGAGAAGCCAAGAAGAGATAGAGAGGGAATAGCGAAACACCGCGACCAGCCTGCAGCGTTTCAGGCCTTTGTACGCCTATGAAATCCATCTAGCGGCCGGAAAAGTCAATCTAGCCCAGCAAAGCCACCCGATTGTTCAGCCAATGCCACCTATCAAGTTATTGTCCCCTCCACTGCTGACCACCGCTTGCACTGCTGGCCATCTGCCCAGCGCCAACCAGCGGCTTCACTGACATTCGCCTACAGCGGTGCCGGCCCGCTTCACACCCGGAATGCTAGTCAGAGAGGCGCCGTGCCGAGCCGAGCCCTCCGCTGCTCATATGCCTAGTCAGCTCTGCCCACGGCCTGCTCGAGCGAAACACTAACGACCGGGGACGCCTCACCACACTGGAGCTGCTAGATTAATAATTAACTCCGCCACAGTCCCTGCAGAGGCGTAGGATTAACACCCACGGGTGATGCATGGCTGTCTACGTTATCACGGACAGAGAAAGATCGCTGAGCCAGTCTGCCGATTATGGACACTCAACCGTACTGCCAAAAGCCGGGACGATGAGATAGCATATGCTATCACAAACTGAATACCACTAATACCAGCAAACTATCAATTGTCAACAAGACCAAGTAGGAGCACCAGCGCCACCGCACGGCAGCACCGGCACTGTCACCACCAGCAGCACCAGCACCACAGATGACTCACGCAGTCCCACTTCCAGCGCTGTGCCGTCCACATGGCGCCGCCTCCGCGCCCCACTGCGCTCGCGCTCACACTGCCGACCCAGCCGCCCGAGCGACGGAGCGGCGGCGGCGGTTCGCGCGACCAGCCGCCCCACCACCCGCCAGAGGCCGCCGCCGCCGCCGCCGCCGCGTCGCGCAGTTCGCGATCAGCAAAAACCGCTAGCCGGGTGCAAGTGCGGCGGCAGCGGCGGCGGTGTGGCGTCCGTGTCGGAATGCAGACTCTTGGATGTGCTATGGAGGCCTGTCAGAGCCGCTGCTGCTGGTAATGGCTGTTTGGTGTACAGGCGACATGTGACCGGCTGGTCGCCATGTCAGGCACGCGAGCACAGCGCCAAGCTGTCCCGTTCTGTATTGTTCATTCAGTGCTGAGAGGGTGTTGGAAGTTCTATGAATATTATGTAAGCGGCTTCGTGTTTCAACCATACTGGCAGACTCTCTCAACTTGCATCAAAGTACACATCCAGTCTGGTGTATAACTAGCACTCTGTAAACTACTGGACATTTATGCAGCCTTTCGACCGCACCCACAGTCTCAAACCTCTCTGAAAGTTGACTCATTTTCTCAGATACCCTTTCTTCAGCAGCCAGTTTACCCGTTTACGAGTCCCTGGGTTCCCTCGACTTTCGCGGCGGACCTATTCAGATACACTTCGTCGACACCATTCACCGTTTAACACCTGCGGAAAGTTCCGCCTCCTTCCGCCCGGGCGCGCGGCGGAACGGTTCCGCACGCGGTGCGGTCACTTCACACCTCGTTCGGCAGCGCGGACACGGCAGCCACGACATGAGAGCGAGCTTACGGACATCGGCGCCGTTAGCATCTCTCCACGGCGTGAATGGAATGTCTGGGTACCAGCCCACGCGGCGCCACTGGATTCTAGGGAGCGGAGCTGAGGGAAAAACGGCAGGTCAGCGGCGCTGGGGAAAAGTGGCGAGCTAGCAGCACTGAGGGAGAGTTACTGAAGGAGCAGTGCTGAGCGAAGAAACCTCAGCGAGCAGTAGCGCTCCTGCTGAGAGAGCAACAATGAGGGAGCGGTGCTGATTGCTGAATGGGCAGTACTTAACAAGCCGCATCGAAAAAGCAGCGCTACACTGCCAAGCGCGGTGTGCCACTGCCGGTCCAGGCCCTGAACTTGTGACCGCGGCGTGGGCACGTATCGGGCGCGTCACGGCGGAGTCGGCGCCCACGCCAGGTCGGTGTCCAGCCCGTGTGTCGGCCGTGGGAGCGCCCAGACAGCGCTAACGACGACGCCCACACCTGACGCGATACACGGACACCGGGGCGGAGCGACGAGTCACGGAGACGGGCGCCTCGCCTACTGGGTGCCGGGCACGGAGCCGGGGTGCCCCGCCCGCTGAACGGCACGATGACTCAGTGGATATTCAGGATCGCAAGGGTGATGGGGAGAAGTTCCAGCTGACTGGTGGACAGAGTTTATTTAGCTCAGAACAATCGACTCAATAGCAGCTTAGCAGAGAGCGTCGACCGGTGAGCATCATAAG